GGGGATTCCAAAGGATATTAGAAAATGGAGAGATATCCCATTCTCTTGGGGAAGAAAAACTAATATAGTGAAAATGGCCATATTTCCAAAACTGTTATACAGATTTAATGCTATCCCAATCAAAATTCCAATAGCATATTTCACAGAATTAGAGAAAACAATCCTAAAATTCTTCTGGAAACAAAAAAGACCTAGAATAGCAAAGATAATCCTGGGCTACAACAAGAAGATAGGGGGCATCACAATCTCTGACTTGAAATTATACTATAAAGCTACTGTGATAAAACAGTGTACTGATTTTAAAAAATGGACCCAAAGATTGATGGAATACTTTAGATGATGTGGAAACAACTCAGTAACTCCAGACACACTAAGCTACCTTATCTTTGACAAAATGCCAAACACATTCACTGGAAGAAAAATAGCTTCTTTAGTAAATGGTGCTGGAAAAACTGGCTCTACACATGCCAAGTATGAAAACTGGATGCATATCTTTCGCCATGTCAAAATCAGAATTAGATCAGGATAAAGAACTTAATAATAAAACAGAAACATTAAACCTGCTGGAAGATCGGTTAGGTAAAATTTTCAAAGAATTTGGTGTGGGCAAAGACTTTGTAAACAAAATCCAGAGTGCATAGGAAGTATCACAAAGAATCAACAACTGGTATCTCACCCTACTGAAAAGCTTTTGTATAGTAAGAGAAATCACTAGCCAAGTGAAGAGATAACCCACAATGTGGGAGAAAGTGTTTTCCAGCTGTTCCTCAGAGAAAGGATTATTACTGAGAACATATGAAGAACTCAAAAAAATCAGTCATCTCAGATTTAAAGACCCAGCCCAAAAATTGATAACTGAGATGAATGCACACTTTTTAGATGAAGAAATGCAAGCAGCAAACAAATATGTGAAAAAACATGCAACATCACGGGTCATTTAAGAGATGCAAATTTAAACAACACTGAGATTAGACCTCACCCCAGAAAGAATAACTATCATCAAAACATAAAGCAATAACAAATGCTAACAGGGTTGTGGAGAAAAATGAACACTTGTCCACTGTTGATGGGAATGCAGACTGGTGCAATCACTGTGGAAATCAATGTAGAGATTCCCAAAAAAACTAGGATGAGAGGTCCCATTCAACCCAGCTATTCCCCTCCTGAGTATCTTCCCAAAAGAATTAAAAACATCATACCACAGTGATATATGTGCACTCATATTTATAGCAACCCAGTTCATAATATCCAGATCTTGCAAATAATCTAAATGCCCATCGACTGAAGGATGGATAAAAAAGATATGGTATTTTTATACAATGGAGTACTACTCAGACATAAAGAATGATAAACTGAAAGTACCTTGAAAATATACTCAGTGAAATAAGACACACGTGCAAAATTATTTTACTGCAACAAGATGAAAGAAAAAACATATGTATAGTTGTATGTATATAAAAATAGTTAAGATAGTTATACTGCTGCTTTATGTGAGTTCACTGAAGAGAAAGAGTTGTACTGGTATTGTTCAGATAATAGAAGGCTGATGTCTTGTGCTCTGGGTGATTGATTTAGGGATGACAATGTGTAATGTATGTATCATTGTTACCTTCTGATTGACATATTTTAAAATCTTGCTGTAGTTTTTTTCCTTTTTCTTTCTTTTTATCAATAAAATAGGTTTTAGAAATGAATTACTAACCCTGTAGAAATTCAGAATATCATGAACACCTACTTTGAAAATCTTTACTCATATAGGCTGGAAAACACAGAAGAAATGGAAAGATTCCTAGAAATATAAATTACCAAGGCTGAATCAAGATATAAAAATTTTGAATAATCCAATATCAGTTACTGAAATTGCAAACTTAATTAAAAAGTTACCAACAAAGAAACATCCAGGTCCTGATGGATATATGATTGAATTTTACAAGAAATTTAGAGAAGATTTAATACCAATACTCCTCAAACTTTTAATGAAATTGAAAAGGAAATAATTCTCCCTGATTCCTGGAGGCAAGTATTACTCTGATACCAAAACCAGAGAAACAGCCAACTGAAAAAGGAGGTCTATAGGCCAATCTGCCTAATAAACATAGATGCAAAAACTCTCAATAAAATACTAGCAAGTAGAATGCATCAAATCATCAAGAAGATTGTACATCATGACTTTGGAATTCATCCCAGGAAAGCAGGCATGGTTTAGCACACATAAATCAATAAACGTAATATACCACACCAACAGATCCAAAGAAAAAAAAATCACATGATCATTTCAACAGATGAAGGAAAAGCTTTTGACAAAGTCCAACACTTGTTCTTGATAAAATCCCTACAGAAAATTGGAATATATGGTATCTACCTCAATCTGATAAAAGCCATTGTCATAGTTTATGTTGGTGGCCCCCAGGCCTCATGCATTTGCATTATGCACTTGTGATTGGTTCATTGTCTAGCACTTGGATTGGGGGTGTGAGCACTACACTGGCCTAGGGGTGGAGCCAGGATGTGACATAATGGCAGGAAGAAGGCGTGTCTTGCTCTCTCTTGCTGGTTTCTGCCTTGCTGTTTGCAGCCTCCATGAACTGTGTCCCTGCCATGCCACCCTGCCTTGGAGTCAACTGAGTATGGACTGAAACCTCCAAAAACTGTAAGAAATAAACCTTTCCTTCCCCAACTTTGGTCATCAGGTATTTTGTCTCAGTCACAAGTAAAAAGTAACTAGGACAGCCATCTATGACAAACCAACAGCCAACATTGTGTTCAACTGACAAAAACTGAAAGCATTCACTCTAAAATCAGGAACAAAACAAGGATGTTTGCTATCACCACTCCTATCCAAATAGTTCTGGAAATGTTACAGAGCAATTAGACAAGAGAGAGGAATAAAGATAGGAAGGCAAGTAGTTAAATCATTATTATTTGCAGATGACATGATACTTTACATAGAAGACTCCCAAAAACTCCATCAAAAGACTACTATAATTAATAAGCAAATTCAGCACTATAACTGAATACATAGTCAACATTCAAAAATCAATAGCCCTCCTGTATACAAACTACAAACTCACTGAAAGAGACATTATGGAAATAACACTTTTTATAATAGCATCCAAAAAATGAAATACTTAGGAATCAACCTAACAAAGAATGTAAAAGACCTCTACACTGAAATCTATAGTACTCTTTTTAAAAAGGTGATTGAAGAGGATGTCAGAAAATACAAAGTTATTCCTTGCCCTTCAATGGGATGAACCAACATAATAAAAATGGCCATACTCCCAAAACTGTTATACAGACTTGATGCAATCCCGATGAAAATACCATTAACATATGTCACCGATCTGGATAAAACATTCCTAAAATTCATTTGGAAACAGAAGAGACCTAGAATAGTAGAGTCAATCTTGGGCAACAAAGGCAAGGCAGGAGGCATCACAATCCCTCACTTGAAATTATACTACAAAGCTACTGTGATAAAGTCAGCATGGTACTGGCAAAAGAACAGACTTGAGTATCATTGGAACAGATTATAAGATGCAGACAGAACTACAAACAGATTCAGTCACCTTATGTTTGAAGGGGCCAAACATGTTCATTGAAAGAAAGATAATATCTTTAATAAGTGGTGCTGGAAAAATTGGCTTTCCACATGCCAAAGACTAAAATCAGACCCATGTCTATCATGCACTAAACTAAAGTCAAAATGGATCAAAGATCTAAATATTAAAAAAGAAACACTAAATCTACTAGAAGGCAAGGTAAGTAGGAATCTTGAAGACATGGGGGCAGATATAGGGTTCATGAACAAAATGCAACCCACACAGAAGTACTTCCAAGAATCAACAATTAAGACATTGTCTTATTAAAAAGTTTTTTCACTTCAAAAGAAACCACCAACAGAGTGAAAAGACAACCCACAGAATGGGAAAGAAGTTTAGACAACTGTCCCTCACACACAGGGCTTATATCAACAACATATAAAGAACTGAAAAACATCAGGCCACCCTAATTCAAAGACCCAATCCAAAAGTGGGCATCTGAGATGAATACATACTTCTTAGATGAAGAAATAAAAATGGCAAATAAATGCATAAAAGAATGTTCAGCATCACTGGCCAGTTGAATTTTGAGTCTACAGTAAAGGAGAAACTATACAAAAAGTATGAAGGTAGGAGATATTTCAAGTGAATGAAAAAGAATAATGGAGACTAACACGGATCAGACAACTCAGAAAAGTTGAAGGTTTACTCTCACTGTTTTTGAAGTCCAAGATTTCTATACTCTTTGTCAAATAATGACCAGAAAAGACTTAAGCTCTGCCCATAATCATTGTTATGGGTTGTATCTAGATGCCCTTCCAAAGCCTCATGCAGTCATAAGTGGGGCCTTTTGAAGGTGCCTAGATCCAGAATACGTGCTGCTGGAATCCCAGATTTTTGGAGGTGGTTTGATCTAGAGTGTGATGCTGGAATTAAGGATGTGTTCCTGGGATTGATTCGCAGTGAGATGCTAGGATTATGGCTGCCTTACCTTGAGTGTTAGTGCTACCCAAAGGATGGGCAGCCTGGGTAAAATATAAAAGACAGAATACAGTCACTGCTGGTCACTTGTGACTTGCTGCTTGCGGCCTTCTGTCTGCCATGAACTCCTTCTCATCTGTAAGCCCTCTGCCTTTCCGCTCTCCCTCAGAGCCCCCCAACCATGCATGAACTGAAACCTCTATGAACTGCAAGCCAAATAAAACTTTCCTCTTATAACTTTGTGTGTTGGGTATCTTGTCTCAGTGACAACAAAAGTAAGACAATAACGTTTAAGAAAATTCTTGCTTCTCAGATTCTCCTTTATGATACCAAAATGCCATATAACATCATTACTGAAAACAAAACAAAAATCTGGCTTTGATAAAATATAAAACAGAATTCCTCTCCTCTGAACTCCCCAACAAAGCATCCGTCCCTGAAGCACATCAATGGAATTTACACAAAGTAGACAGTTCATCAGGTTTTATCTTCTTTATTTTGTACTTGAGAGTTTTGAATATTATTCAGAATTTAACATGATAGGCATAAGTGCAAATACAGTTAAATCTTCTAAATAAAACAAAAATAGAAATGAAGAGACAAGACTTCAACATATAGATAAAAGAAAGGCAAAATGTATGAGCTTCTAGGTAACATGCTAGTCCTCTTACCTCCTTACTTTTTCTGTTCATGATTGATCAATTTATTTTGTTTAGGATAAAAAATATACCATCCACAAAAGAAACCAAGCACTCCAGTGGTTTAAGGCAAGACAGGTGCTTGAGTAGCCGTTATTCACCTCTCTTAGTAGTAGCCATATGATTGGGGATATCTTCTCTCTGAAAAAAACAAAGCAGAATGTGGTCAGCAAGCTCAGAGCAATGAACAACAGCCATGTTCTGAGAAAGTATAGCAACAAAGGTGAGAAAAGCTGGCAGAGGCCAGATTTCAAAGGTCTTAATTAGTATGAGAAAAGGGACAAAGAAGGGTGTTTAGGTGTTTCTAGGACACTTTTTAGGGTATGGAAGTGTAAGGAAATCAGAAACAGGATTTCTTTGAAGTCTACTCATTAATATTGTATCCTAATGTTCTCAGAAGAGAGCCTGAAGCCTGCTATAATGTTCACAGACCTCTAACTACTCCTGGATATGTGGGGGAAGACCTAGAAGTCTGGGGAATAAGTGAGTTCCTGTTTTCCTTTGAAGGAAAGACCAACTTGAGTTGGTCAAAGGAAATGCAAGTGTATGAGCCTGTCTAGTTAGTTGTGTTTTAAAGAATGGAGCCAAAGAGCCAGGCCCCTAACTTCTGCACTTGCTGGACATGGCTTTGAGGAGATGGCACTCATCCCCGCCGAGATGGACACACAGAAATATTTGAGATGTCTTCACCACCCCACGGGCTTTTGCCCAACATCCGTGATTCTCAGACTTGAGTATGGGTGACAAGCACCTAGAAGTTTTGCTAGGCCTATCTCCAAGTGTTTTAACATGTTTTTGTTTAGTATGTGAAGTGTGGGGACTCCGAATTTGCATTTATCACCAGCCTCTGGGTGATACCAGTGTTGCTGGTTTGGGGATGATGCCAGAGAACAACTACACAATGTTAGCCTCCTAAATCAGGCAGAAAGTTTAGTTTTGTCTTTCTTTTCTTCCAAAGAGGTGTGAATTTCTCCTCCCTATCATTTCTCAGATTCAACTCCTATAAATATAATATTCCCACATATATTACAGGACAACCAGTTATATTTGAATATCTAGATAGGAATGGTGCACACTTTTGGAATCCCAGTATTTTATGAGGCCAAGGCAGGAGGATTCAAAGTTTGAGCCGGACCTGGGCAATTTATCAACTTAATGAAACCCTTTCTCTACAAAGACAGATAAATAGATAGATAAGGAATTAAAAATAAATAAACCAATAAATAAATAAAAGACTACAGTGTGAAAGCCAGGCACCTCAAAAATTTAAAAGATTTAATTCCTGATAAATAAAAATTACTGGGCACACACATGACATATAATTTGCCAAGTATCTGAAATTCAGTTATGGTGCTTATTAGCTATGTTCCTAGTAAAATTATTTAAATTCTTTGTTTTGTCAAATAGAAGGGAGATGGTAACAGCTACCTTCAGATAAGGACTTCACATGACATATGTAAAGTCCTAGGCTTTTAATGAGAGGCTCATAAGTGGCTGCTCTGACTGCTTGCCTGTCACATCATAGAGCAGATGTTCTTAGCAGAGGATCAGAAGCCCCATCCTTGGTAATGGCCACATTCAGCAGGATAAAAGCCGCCAGTCCCTGAAGCCAGGTGTTTTTTTAAACCCAGAGAGACTCCATCTCATCACCTTCTGCCCCGGGCTACAAGCGTATGTTCTGATGCTTCTTTTAAGTCCCCAAAATGCCCAGAAGTGTCTGATACATTTGGCATGCAGTAAATGTTAATGAGCGCTGCCCTCCCTGTGATGAGATGCACCTGCCTTCACTCTTCCCCTCAGGTTTGCACTTACTTGGGTACCTGCGGATCTTTCTGATGGGCCTGTAGTTCTGGTCTGTCTCTTGGATACTACAGACGTATTTCTCATTTAACTTGACTGGGTATTTCAGGACAGAGTACACCCGGAAGAGGCCATTTATCTGCTCCTCCAGGATTTCAACTGTACTTTGGTTACTCAGGTCCCTCTCACCCCGGTCCAACCAGGTCACATTGGGTGCAAAGTACCAGCCATTGGAGATGCAAATGGCCACAGGCTCTTCATCAGTCTTGTCAAATTGCACCTGGGGCATTTCAGCATCTGGGTGGAAAAAATAACAAAACAATTACCTCCTTTTCCTTTCAGCCTCAGGAGGCTCAAGGGAGCAGAAATCTTGCAGTTTGTTTTTACTTTAACCCCTTATGGAGCCAACACATCTGGAAGTACATGATAGCTAACATTGTGGACCAAGCATGATGAGACAAGAACAGGATACAAATATGCTCCTGTCCTGGTGCTTATTAGCTTTGTTCCTAGTAAAATTATCGAGTAAAAGATCTCATCCACCACAGCTGTCTTTAGTTTTGGGATCTCTCTTAAGGTGCCTCATTCCACGCTCCCCACTGGCCTCTGATACCCTGCTGAGACTCTCCGATGGTAATGAGTGATTCTCATCACCACCTTCCCATCCCTGCCAACTGTTATCCTGGATAATTTCTTCCATTGAGACCTCCCAATCTCTGTGAGGTCTCTGATCAAAAAGATAGTTCCCTAAGCAATCCTGTAAAGGGTAAGGGTCCCTGGATACCATGGCGATTCGCTGATCACCCAGAACTACTTTTTAATAGTGAGAAAAGTGAGGCTTAGAGAAGCTAAACAAGTTGCCCAAAGCCATTCAGAACTAGAGCCTAGGTGTTTTGAGTCCCAGGGTGTGGCTGTTTTCACTAAATCCAGAGCAAATCTGAGACTCTCCAGAGAGGATAAATGTGTTAGGGTGGATTTGGGGGCTTTGTTGCTTCAATCTGTTCGGAGAGTTTGGGATTAGGCCAATCCTATTCATGTTTTGTGTATATTAATGAATGAATGATTACACAGGTATAGATCTGGCACCTTTTATTCAGAGTAATATTTTTAGCTAAGATAAATTGACATTCCAAACTCCTGACTCTTATAATAGAAATAAATATAACATAGTAATTTGAATAAAAGAGGGAAAGTGATAACACCAAAGGAGAAAGTTTATAGTTTATCCTCATGAAGAGGAGACAGAGCTTGAAAACAAGTTCATCAATAAAATTTCTTCACCTTCTATAATCAGCTTAACTGTACTTTGGCCTCTTCCATCTGGTGTGATGGCCGAGCACTTGTACATCGCTTCATCAATGAAGTCCACATTTCTTAGCAGCAGTGATAGAGTCCCCTCAGAAATTTCATCCTGATCCACAGAAACTCTTCCTTCATACATGGCATTTTGCTCTTCTAGTTGCTCTGTGTTATTGTGAAAGTGATAAACTAACTTTGTGAAAACTTCGAAGAAATCATAGTGCCGGAAAAAACGGTAAAATTTCTCATCCTCATCTACCTCATATTCCTCTATGATGTCTTCTCTTTCCCAAGAAAATTCAAGATTTTCTGTGCCCTCCACAAAGGAGAAATGGCAGGAGAGGGTCACATCAGTGAAAGGGCGGGCCCGCAACTCTTCTGCCAACACTGAGACTGTCAAAGAAGAAACGAAGTTAGTATAGACCAGTGAGCACTGCACCAGCTAGAGTCTAATGACAGATCATAGAATCACACCAGCTATTTCAAATGGGAAAGGGTTTAGTACAGATGATTATAAAACCACTGGAAGAATGGATGGATGAACCTAAAGCAGGCAGGGAAAGGTGACGATTGCAATGTGTGTTTCTCCTCCCCTACATCGTGCTAAGCTCAGAATGATACAGCAGAACTGGTTGGCTGCATTGCTGCTGCCTCTGCCTTATTTGGAAGCTGGTGAATCAGGAAGCTGTCACAGTGAGTATCGGCTCCAGATCTAAACCGGAACTGCCAAATTCACACTGGCAAAGGAAAGGATGGCTTGTGTGCTGTGTAGCCTTTTTCCCACTTCAACCAGTTGCCAGTTTAATCTTGCACAAGTGTATCTCATTGGCAGACCATAAGTAACTCCCAGAGTAAAGCAATCCTGAAAATGGTGTTTTTTTTTTTAATTCTCCAGCTCCAGTAATCCAGGAAAGCACATCAGAAATAAATAGATGTTCAGTAAATAAACTTATTCTACTTGCCACAAAAACCAGCTAGTCTAAGCAGTTATCAATGATAGGGAGTACAGCCATGGCCTGTGTACTCCAGATGATCATAAAGTGGACTAGAACTCTGATATATTACAGCTAGAAGCAAGTTTTGAGATCATCTGACTCAATGTTTTCAAGATATCTTGCCTAGAACTCCCCCCAGAGTTTGCTACTGATGGTGGGAGAGGACCAAATTAATGGGATCTCCACTTCTTTACCATTTTTAATTAGGACAGTCCCTCTCTAATTTTCCGATAAATTAAGCTACAAAATTCAGAATTCTCCTGTCAAATGTCTCTGTCACTAGAAGACAAAACTGACTCCCTGGAGCCAAACTTACTTAAGATCACAAATTAAAATACAAGTGGCACTGCAGAAAGAAACAAAATTGAAAAGAGGCTTTTAATGTCATAGTTAGCAAATTGTGTGTGTGTGTATGTGTGTGTGTGTGTGTGTGTGTGTACTGCTGGGGAGTGAGCACAGGGGCTCACACATACCAGAAAATCACTATCATTGAGTAACTTTCTTATCCCATTACCAAACATTGCCTACAAGATAAATTCTTAATGTAAGTAAAAGAGAATAAGACTTAAACATTAGGAAAGAAAGCAGTTTTTCCTTCTATACGCTCTGTGCTGGTGACAAGCAGCAGAGGGGAAGAATGACTGGTCAGTGTGACCATGCATAAGGTTGCTTCTTGATACAAAGAAGTGAAATGAATCAGAAAAAACAGGTGAATAATTACAGTGAGAAGCTCCAAATGATGGAAGTTATATGGCAAGAAAGCTCCCAAGCTATCAGTCCTGCAAAGAGCAGCTGGACCCATACCTAGTAGTAGACCTACCAGCTGCATAACAGACACAATATGCTCCTTTCAGGAGCAACAGCCCCATATCTCAGATAGTTGGTGAAATGTTACTCTGGGTGTGTCTGTGAGGGTGCTTTTGGATGGAGTGACTATCTGAATAGATTGAGTAAAGCAGTTGCCCTCTAATGTGGGTAGTTCTCAGCTAATGGAAGTCCTGAACACACAAAAAAGCTGACTCTCCCTCCAAAGGAAATGCTTCCTGTCTGAATGTTGAGCAATCATTTCTTGCCCTTAGGCTTGAAGTGAAGCAAGGGCTTTCTTGCACCTCCAGGCTTTGCACTCAGGCTACAGTTGCACTTGTTGCCTTCCAGCTTTCCAGCTACAGAGCTTGGGACGTCTAACATCCATTCACGAGTTGCTTCTTCCCTTCTCTTCCCCTCCCCTTCTCTCAGCTCTCTGTTTCTGTTTTTCTACTGGACCCTGACTAAACTGGGTAACCTTTACTGAGAGTTTACAGTTGCTAAACATATTCTAAAGACTTTTCTGCCTTAATTCATTCAATCTGCGTGACACATTGAGGCAGTATGATTATTATCCCCAATTTACTACTGAGAAAACCAAGGCCTGTGAAGTTGCTCAAGGACACACAGCTTGTGAGTGGCTGCTATGACTGAAACCCAAGAGTTCGACTCCAGAGCTCTCCGTATGACAAGTGCTTTTCCATCTCCTAACCATAGGCACTCATGCTAAGTTCAAAAAACATGTTAGTGACTACTGCGGGGACAAAATAAATCAATGAGTATAAAGGATGGACAGGAGGCAAGGCGAGGTAATTTGCCTATCTTTTTAGACAGATGAATTTAAAAATTAAAAAGCCAAATGCCTTCTCAGTTCAACCATTAATTGTCTAATGTGATTTTAATAAAAAAGCAATGTTTTTTAAAAATCCTAATCTGAAGAATTGTAAATCCAAGTCCTAGTTCTAAGTGGCCCCTTGTTGTACTAGTCATTTAGTGTCAGGCACGTTACTTGATCTCTCTGATTGCAGTTTCTTCATATGCACTTAGGAGAACACCTGCCCAGAGTCATTATGAACTACCTTGGGATCTTTGGGACTACTGAGTCATTTGCCAAGGGGACAGAGGGAGGAGAGAAAATGGGTGAATGTTTTGTTTCGTAAACTGCCTCCACCTCTATTGCTCTCACAGGGATATGCAGGGGTCCTTGATTGCAGCTCTTTCAATGCTACCCAGGAGGTCTTGCTGTGGCTCTACTCTTTTAGGGATCAGGGGAAAAGGTCTCAGAATCAGGCATCCAAATGGACCAACAGATTATGAAACACAGTCTGCTGAGGATGTAACTGGTATTAATCCAGCTTCTGACAGATATGCCTGTAGATGGTTATGCTTGAATCTAAGTAACTCTTTTATTTCAATCTGTTATTTCTAGACCATTGTGTTGGAAAACTATGGAAAGACACTGTATAGTATAGTTGATTAAGAGGTTGACTTTTATTTTGGTTAAGAGGAGATGTGAATGAGCTATTCATATAAATATGGCTTTGAACAGACAAACCAAATTGGAGGACAGGCAGCTCTTCTCATTACACACACACACACACACACACACACACACACACACACATACACACACACAAAGTAGAATAAACAAAATGCCTTACAATATATGTCTGTTACCCCTTATCATCTGCTTGTCAGATTTGCTATGAAGTCAATATAGTAAATATTTATAATTCTCAGTTAACAGATGAAAATGAGGTTTCAAGACATTCATTTGCTGCTTTGTTCATCTGGTTGGATTTTCTCTCCAAACCACTGTTTTTCTCAGTATCCCCAAAGTAGTTTCAGAATTACCCACAAAGCTGGTGGAAAAGTAACTCACCTGCCCCACGAAGAAGTAGAAGTAGCTTGACAGACACCAAAAAGAAGGACATTTTCTGAGAAACAAAAAGAAAGGCAGGAAATTCTCTTTAACTAGGAAACTGTTGGGCTATCAAGACCAGAGCCACCTGCTGCCAGGTTTCAGAAAAGGCCCTTCTGAGCACCAACCCCATCCGGCCCCACCAGGTACAGCCAGCAGACAGAAGCTCCCAGAATTTCAGTACTTTCTACGAGTGGCATCCAGTCTGTTTCTCTGGCCTCATCTCTTATCACTCCCCCAAACTTTCCTACAAGTATAATCCTGGTACCATGGTGATATCCAAACCCTCTGTGTCTGGTACTCAGCACCTCATCACTCTTCTCATGTGCCTCTTATTTAGTTAATCACTTCATTATCTTCTGAGTTCAAAAGAGATCAGCACATTCAGGGTGGGATGGCCATAGATTTCTTCATTATTTTGAACATACTTTTATAAGAAGCACAGTATATGCCACTGTCTTTATGTGTTCTTTTGTTCCTTACTGTTTCAAAGACAGAATACTAAAATAATCATAACATTTCAGCATATTTTCTTTCCTCTTCTTTTTCTTGTTATATTTCTGTTAAAGGGGAAAATAAACCCCACCACAATCCTCCATGTTTAACTGTAATATATTATACCAATGATACAGCACATGCTTACAAATGCCAGTTTTAATCTTCTAAGTAATCTCCTATGAAGTAGGTACCATGATCACCTCCATTTACTAGTCAGAAACTAGGGTACAGGTGTAGGGGTGTTGGTCAGAGAAATGTATGAGATGGGCATGCAGAGGTAAGGGATGTTTGGAGCCATACACCCTAAACTTCCTGGACTGCATGGTTAGAGATTTAAAAATAGCCTATAAGGCCAAATGTCCAAGCAGGATCAAATAGATTACCTTAAGGAATGGATGCTCTGACCTTCGTCTGATTCTTTACTTAGAATAGCCCTAAGATAAGTCATGAAGCAGACCACCCTGTCCTTACTCTGTCCCCTACATGAGTTCCTGAAAAAGTGTCTCCCTTTTCATTTGTTCTGTTTTTTATCCTTGCTTCCTGATTCTATCAATAAAAAAACCACAGAAGCTTCAGTTCAGGGCTGTCTTTTTTCCTGAGACTCTCATGCTGAGAGGGCTCAGATAAAGCCTTCTTGAGGTTAAACTGCACATGGACTCCAAGTAGTCTCTCATCTTTTGCACAGTGACATGGTCATGCTCTTATGCTCACAGAGAGCATAAAAAATTTATCCAAGGCCATACGGAGCGAGTCTCTCACCCTGCAGGTGAGCTGAAGCGTGAACATTCCATGTAAACTCTGCCCAAGCAAATCTCTGCCACTTTGCCCACACGTGCTGGAAGCCCCCTCTCTCAGGTAGGTGTTTGCCAAGAAAATCAGAAGTTCATGGGTCATGGAAGCAGACAGTTTATGGTGAATTACAGTAAGTGGCTTTCCTAGAGGTTGTTAAATCCTAGAAAATGTGTAGGTTGAATTTTTATAGATACAAAAGTCTCAAAAAAAATAAGATAAAGAAGCAACTCTCACTAGCCAATGGCCAAGGACAAATAGATTTTTAACTAAATCTACATACTCTGACAAGGAATATGTAGTAATTAATATCATTTTTTTATTTAGAAAACATCTCTTCATGGCACATACAGTAAAATATTTTAAAGACATGTTCAAAATAAAATTTAAAAGGTAATATAGCAAAACAGCTACCAGAGCTATATATAGTTAATGGAGAAAATTACAGTCAAAGGTCAGGGAGAAAAATAAATTGTAGGAATGCCTTTTCAACTCAACAAAATTTAATCATTGATTTCCAGGCTATGAAACATTTTTATTCTTATGGTTTTCCTGGTTTCCCCACCTAAGTCACACATAATCCTTGCTCCTGTGCATTTTCTATGGCTATTTATTCTCCCATTCATTTAGTAATGATCCTAAGAGTACCACTGCTTATTGTAAATTTTTTTAAAAAAATAGAAGATAAAGAAGTGAAAGTTACTTTAACACTTTGGATATTCCTTTCAGTCTTTTGCATGAGTTTGTTGTTGTTGTTGTTTTGGGTGTTTTGTTTTGTTTTAGTACTGGGGATTGAACCCACGACATTTGCTCTGAGCTACAACTCCAGTGCTTTTTATTTTGAGATAGGGTCTCACTAGGTTACTCTATTGCCCCAGGCTTGGCTCACGCTTACGTGTGCCCTCTTGCCTCAGCCTCCCAGAGTTCTGGGATTGCAGGTATGTGCCGCTATGCCTGGATATATGTGTACTTTTCAAGAAAATTCAACTTGCGTTTATAGTCTAGTGTCCAGTTTAATTTTCTTCATGACATTGTTTTGTAAGTATCATTCAATATTGTTATAATCTGATCTATTTGTTTCATCATTATTTATGTGCATATCTTATCATACTACTGGGCTGTAGGCTCCCTTAGGTCATCTATCTTTCATATATCCATCTTGGTGTTTCATTTATTGTAGGTCCAATAAGTGCTTACTGAAATACAGTATTTTAATTAAATAAAATCTGGTGTAAGAATTACAAAAGTTCGCAGTGTAAAAGGAAAAAGAAAACAAAAAGGAATCTGTATATTACTAGAGATGAATATAAATTATGTTAAACAGAAAATTACAACTCTACACCTAGGTCTTGCCTCCAAGGCTGATCCTCTTGTCACCTCTGATTTGCAGAAAGCAGTGAGGGGTCTCTGAACTAGCTCTGTGCAGCAAAATAGGTACAAAGGGGTTGGGCAGACTCCAGTTCACAATTACAGTCAACAAGCCCCCCCAAAAAAACCCCTTTATCCAACAAGCTTACCTGTATTATGCTGGTACCTCCAATGCACTGGATGAGAATCAAATGAGGTGGAGTCAGTATGTCTTCCAAAGAACAGTCATGTGGCAGTCCTCGGGGAGAGGGCTTGGAGACACTGCTATTACCAAGCTGTCACCACAAACATTCAGCAAAATGCTCTATTATTTCTAGAGCAGTCTTTGTTGGCTAAAGAAAATTCTTGCAAGATAATACAGTGGAAGACCAGACTAAAGACTAACGTTGGGCAACTGTCCTTTATCCATTATTCAAACATTCCATTTATTGTAAGGTAATTAAATAACATGGGGAAGGGCTGACTGTACAATTTTTGGTACAAAAACACAAAATGCAATTAATCATGATGACACATGCCTGTAACCCCAGTACCCAGGAGACCAAGGCAGAGGAATGAGTTTGAGGACAGCTTGCAGTACATAGTGAGTTCAAGCCCAATTTGAATATGTAATGAGACTATGTCTCAAAAAACAGAACAAAACAGCAAAACCAAACAAAAAACCTAAATGCATGCATAAAATACAAAACTTAATATACATGTACACATATGCATGATTTCAAATTTATAGAAAAAACATGTGCTTATAGGAAGGAAGGAAATATACCAAAATACTAGTAGTAATTATTTCTGGGTGACGAACTTTTATATGATTTTAGCAATTTCACTACATATTTCCAAATTTTCTATACTGACCTTTTACATTATAATACAAATATAACTGGAAAAATAAAGTAATAAGACAGGTTTTACACACAGAAAGTGAGAGTACAGGAAGGAGCGAGAAAATGGGGTATATTATTTTCTTTCTCTTCTTGATGAGTATTGTGTCTCCTATATGATGTCTTGTCTACTGAACTTCAGGCTCAAATTCAGTAGAAGCCAATTCTCTATTAAGTTATCTTTTCCTCTCTCATCCCCACAGCACAGTTAAAGAACCAGATCACTCAAGCCCTGATGTTACTGGATTCTCCTGGATAGCTACACAAAATGTTATTAGGTTCCGGTTTGCTCACCTCCATTTCTGGAGTTGGAGTCCAAGTTCTCGTCTCAAATAAAGAATTTAATGAAATGAGGGGGAAAAAACCAGGGGCAAATAAAGTAAAGGCGAAAATTCAAACAGAAACTGGATCTTCAGAGAGAGTTTGGGCCAAGTAATAGAGGAAAAACTAAGCTAAAAGAAAGCCCTAGAGAAAGCAGGGCTGGCTGTCATGACAGCAAATTCTTCTTGATATCTGTGTCCTTTTGTACTGTCCAAATCCCGTGGAAACCTGTGACAGTTTCTACAAACTGGTCCTGAGAAACAGTGCTGGGATCCCATAGCTCAAATTGAACTCAGGTTTAGCTATCCTATGAAAAACCTGCTTCAGTTCTTGAAAGGAGTCCATATGCAGGGTTTTGAGAACTGTTCTGTGTATTCTTGCATCTTGTAACTATAGATCACACCTGCTTCTCCAGCCAGTATTGTTACTGACACTTAGCAGAGAAACAGTGAATTATAGTCAAGGGTTTAAAGAAACACTTCTCCTGGGAATTTATTAGAACAGAACAAATAAAACAAAGACAAGAATGAGAGGCCTGCTGGGAGGTGTGTTGTTTTTGTTCAGCTCCTATAACACCTAGAATATTTTTGGTTAGTAGGCCCTTAATAAAATAACCATGGAATGGAATGGAATCGCTGCAATCTGTTCACATCACTCTCCCAATTCGTGGTGTGGCCCCTAAGATTGGACCTACATTTGACTTTCACCATCAGGCAGAGGAGGACCATCTTGATGCTGCTTCAGAAACCCAGAAAAATACTTTATACATAGATAAAAGGCTATTTCTTCAGATACCACATTACTCAGCTCTCCCAAAACCTGGGATTGTTCTCATGTGATGTCAACCTGAGCTACAGAATAGGGAGCTGGGACCTGGAGCTGCTAGTCAGGGAAGAAGCATAAGCAATTCCCTTGCCTGTTATTCATACATCTTTCGTATTGGCCTAGACAAACCTATCATCTCTAAGTTTCCTGTTTTCTCCTCCACCAGGTACTATAATAGTACTCCTCAGATGTTTGGGCAAAGTTACAATTTTAAATATTTTTCCCATTATCTTCCAAACTATGACAATATTTATATGGGGGTGCTGGCCAGAAGTATGTAAGAGATAGGCATGCAGAGATAAGGGACTTTGGGGGGCCGTATACCCAAAACCTTCTGGGGTGCATGGTTAGTGATGAAAAGATAACATACAGGGCAAGAAGCCCAAGTAGGATCAAAACACATTGCCTTAGGGAATGAAAGCTCTGGCCCTCATCTTCCCCCAACCTGATTTACTAGATTGGCCTTATGATCAGTCATGCTGAAGATCACCTTCCCCCTGCCCCCTATTTTTGTCCTTTATCGTTGATTCCTGATTCTATCAATAAAAAGCTACAGAATCTTCAGTTCAGGGCTTTGTTTATGAGACCCTTACAGTAAGAGGTCTTGGTTAAGGGCAGTCCTCTGGGCCTTCTTAAAGTTTGAGCTGGACATAAACCAAGAGTAATCTCTCATCTTTTGTGCCAAGCCATGGTCGTGAACTGTGACATACTTACATCAAATTTATAAATTACTTGAAATGTAATTTTGTCACATTAAATAAAATTATATTCCAAGCTCTCAATAAATGCTTTAAGTATTAATCCCTTTTCAAGTAAATTTTAATATTTACAAATCTATTCACTTACATAGAGTAACTATTATTGTTACTGGGTTTTGGGATGTTAGAGTGTTCTCCTGGAGAAAGTTCTTTCTGTCTTGAGCAAAGAATTGATCGAGACAAGCACAAGCAGTAGCAAAGTTTTGTTAAAGGCAGGGTAAGAAACAAGCTCTGCAAAGTGAGTTTGAGCCAAGTAACAGTAGGAAAAGAAGTGAATCCTACACTGTGAGGGTGTGGCACTGTGTGAGGGCTACCACAATGGCAGAAACTCAATGATGACTGCACTATTCACAGAGCCCACTCCTCAGGCTGAAGTCAGTCCAGGACATCCCATGGGAAATCTGCTCAAATTCTTGAGAAAATCCATACGCAGGGCTCCGGGAACTGTTCTGCAGATGTGTTCTGGGACTTTGTGATTTGAGGGCCACACCTCCTTCCCCAGCCAGTTTTGCCACACCCTGATCTGAATCACTGTGAACTAGGTCTTGTGTTAGAGGCTGAGATCACAATGATGATTCTGCTCCTCTCAAAGACATTACAATCCAAAGTAATAACTAAAACCTGCAGCCAGTTTATTAAGATACACTATTCCAATCTGTCTAATCAACAAGAAATCATGTTAGTAAAGGTGAGACTGGAGTGTAAAAGAAAATGCCAAAATAAACATAGCCACTCTATATAAATAAGAGCCTATCTAATTGAACACATGATCCAAATTTTTAAATTAAAATTTAGTTTCCTTCAAAAAAGCCAGAAACACTATTTTGCACTTTTTGTACTTGTTTCTCAGGCATCTTAGCTTCAACAAGTAGAAATTTGGGATACCCTGTGGTGGAGCTGACAGGCCCCAGGTTCTTATGTATGGTGCACAAAATATTGCAAAGTGTACAATGATGATGGAGCAAAAGTAGCTGTGTTTCTTGAGGGCTGTGAACAGATGGGTGGCAGAAAAGGAACAGTGCGCACCATGCAGACAAGTCAGGTTCAAGAGCAAGAAGAGAAGAGAAGGGGTTTGCTCAGGGTTATACTGAATGCTGCTGAAGTATTTTGGAGCTTAAGTGGGTAAAGGGCAGTCAGTAGGTAGGAATGGCTTTAGGGTGGTGTTCCAGCTGAACTGGGTGGATGAGGGAGTTCCTCAGCCCATAATATCCTACTTGTACTAGTTGGTGTCCTTATTAAATTAAAATACTTCATACTATACCCCTGCAGACTTTCAAAATTTGTCAGTTTGGGGCTGCAGATTTAGCTCACCGGCATAAGCACCTGCCTTGCAAGCAGGCAGTCATGAGTTCAATCCCTGGTACCGATAAAAAGGAAAAAGACAAAAAAAAAAATTTTCAGTTCATCTGTTTCTTACACTACTTTTTAAAAATTTTATTTAAAGAAAGGAAAAACACCCAAAACAGTAAAAGGGTACAAGTAATACAGAATTTCAAAAAAAAATAAACTAAGAAATCACTAGTTAATACATTATATATTGTCATCTTAGAAATAGTTGTTCAAGTTACAAAATTAAAGCATAAAAAGTGGACATTCAAACAGTGAGACTGCAAACAGTTGTGTTCAGTGATCCAACAAAAACTTAGCAATATGGTTGTCTGTCTCACACACCTAAACACACTTGCAGTTGTGTCCTTTAGAGCACTTTCTTTTCCTCTCTTTTTTACAATAACATTTATGCATTTTGGGTTTTATTACTCCCACAGTTCTTATTACTTTTTTTGGAAGAGAATAAAATCAAATGTGATAAAACAAAGCAGTCAGTCAAAGCAAAGCATGGACATAGTACATGATGTAAAAACAGAATACAAGGTAAACAATGGTTACCATAATGCCTCTTGCTACCTTAAAAAGAACTGCCTATATCATCAGGTATAATAAAATTGAACAAAACAGTACAGAACAAAACCAGTAAAACCTAAACATTGAAGACATTACTGAACTTCAAAAGAAGATAATATTCAAACCAGAATGGACATCATAATGAAACTTATTGCATTCAAAGTAGTTGCCTATACCCTCAAACTTGATACTATTGAACAAAACAGAATAAAGTCCATCAAAACAAGATGGTGAGAACAATACAGGGCTTCAAATCAAGTTAATAGGAAATCAAAAAAAGTTACTGTAATATATCCTGCTAATTTTTTAAATTTTTTCTGTTAATTAAAAAAATAATAAAAAAATAAAATTTAAAAAAGGGGCAGTTGAGATAAAAGAGGGCATAACAACATAACAATACAGGTCAGAACAGAATAATTTAAGCAACATAGCGTTTCACCACAAGATAACCTGACATAATAGTAGTTGCTATAGTGTCTCTTTCCTTGAAATATTTGAGTATAACTTCGTATACTGTAGCATAAAACATAACAACACAGTGGAAAACCATTCAAGAGGATGAAAGTATTACAGAGTATTTAGAACCAGCTAACAGAAAATGAACAATGGTTTTTATATTATCTCTTTGCCTATAAAAATTTTGTTTATACTACCACATAAAATAAAATACAGTAAGATACAACATAATAAAACAATGGAGACAGAAGAACAACAGTTTGATGGGACCTGAAAACAAGA